CAAAACAACAACAACAACAAAAAAAAGAGTTTCCTGAAGTGTGAACAAAAATGATGGTTGCCATCTTCATTCATGTGTATCTTTAAATATATTGACAAGTCATAAAACATTTAATTTGCTTAATTCAACCTCTGAGGGCTTTGATAGGAAATGATACAATTCCTTTCTTTCTATTTGAAAGTAATGATAGTGATTTTGTTCTTGACTAAACACTGAGGCTCCTGTACAGTACTACCTATCAGTTCAAGTCTGCCCCCTAGAGTATCCAGAGTGCCTTGACAGCCATGCTGAACTATAAAGTTCATTAATTCTAACACTCAATTTTTCCAGGATGTTATCCTCATATTTTATATGTTTCTCCATTACTTTAAAGTGTGTCAAATGATTCTTTGATAAGAAAAATAGGCTTCTGTCATAGGAGGAAGTATTAACTAATAATGCAATTTTTCACTCTGAGAGACTAATATATATGTATGATGGTGTTTTGCCTAAAATTGGTAGAATTAATTCAAGTTTTAAGACTCTGGTTACTTCAATCACACCTTGTGAGTAAATATAGTAAGCCACTACTATCATCTAGGCAACTATTGGGTTTGAAGAATGCAAAGATGATTAAGATTTGGTTCTTGCCACTAAGAGTGGACAGTCTAGATGGAAAGATGGACATGTAAGGAAATCATGACATTAGATGATAAAACTTATATGAACTATACTGTAGCACAGGAAAGAAGTTGAATGTGCAAGACCATTTTATTTGGAGATGTTAAGACTGAAAAAAGGAAGAAAGAAAGAGAAGAAAAGAAAGGAAGAAAGAGGAAAAATGGGGAGAGGACAGGAAGATACATTTAGGTACAACAAACCTTACTTAAAATGTAACTATATTAGAACAGTTAACCCACAACAAAACCTTGAATTAATTAAATGTCAATACATTTTAAACTAAAAACAAAAATTCAAGTAATAAAAAGATTTGAGAGTAAATAAGGGTGTAAATCAGTACTAATAGAAATATAATGTAAGATACATATGTAATTATTAATTTTAGCAAGGTGTAGTGGCACAAGCTTGTAATCCCAGCTCTGGAGGCTGAAACAGCAGGATTGCAAGTACCGTGCCACCCTGACAACTTAGCAAGATTCTTTCTCAAAATAAAAAATAAAAATAGCTTGAGGTGTAGTTCAGTGCTTTCTGGGATCAATCCCCAGTACAATAACAAATGTGTGTGTGTGTGTGTGTGTGTGTGTGTGTGCGCGCGCGCATGTGTGGCTCCACATGCTTTTTAAAAGATGAAAATAATTTTAATAATATATTTCATTTATCCAAATTTATCTGAAATAAATGTCATTGTTTCTTTTATCGGTATATCTTTGGAGATATACTAGGACTGAGTACAGGAAACGTCTATGAGAATGGAAGGAACTAGGTAAATCCAAGTGACCTTTAGAGGCAAAATAGGCAGAATGATTAACTGGATTCAGAATGAGAGGAGTACACATGGTTTCAAACTCAAACAAGTCCTTCCTTGGGCAAGTGATAGATGATGCTTCCCACCCACTGAGACAGAAGACATAGCATGGGGATAAATGGACAAAGAATAATACTTCACCCTTAAGACAGGCTGAGGAATAATATTTCACCCTTAAAAATGTCATGGAACATGCAACTGATCATATTTCCAAGGAACACTTAAATATATGACTGTGGTGTGCAGGAAAGAGACTGCACTACACGGGTAGATTGGGAGCCATCAGCACATAAGTCATGTGAATGTCTGAGATTTCCCAGAGAGAATAGAGTGATATGAGTGGTGAGGCAGAAACCAGAGGAAAAAAGATATTTAAGTTACAAGGATCCCTCACCAAAAATCTACCAGGAGTGATTAGAGAGGCACAAAGAAACCCAAGAGAATATATGGTTTAACAGCCCAAAAAAGAACTTCAAGGGGGACAGAGTTGCCAACCATGTCAGAAGCTTCCAGAAAGTCACACAAAGTAAGGACAGCAATACCTTTACAGAAGTTTACAGAAAGGAGCTCATGAGTGACTTTGAAAATAATAAATTCTACAGAGGGTAAGAGAGAAGTCGCATTTCTACAGGCTGAAAATTGAAGGAGTAATGTAAATAATTCCTCAGAAAGTTTTCTATGGAAAGGAAGACAGCAGATGTGGTATCTACTGAATATGCAGAATGGTACCTATTGGTATATTACAAAGATAGGTTTTTTTATGATGCCAGAGACTTAACCCATTGAAAGATTATTGGAAAGAAATCATTAAAAGTATGATTTTCAAAGATGCTAATCATATATTGTCAACTGAAAAGAGATCATGACTTTTTAAAGTGGTTTATGTGTAAGTATAGCCATGTGTACACATAGATAACATTCTACAAGGACATACGCCAAGGTATGTAACCATGTGTATCTCTGAATAGAGAGACTAACAGAATTTTAATGTTTATTCTTTTACTTAATTTACATTTTTAGTATAAAAGGTTTTGTAATACAACAAAAGCAATAAAAACTAGAGATTTCATTTTCAGGAAATCCCATATCCCCACATTCTATAGTTCTCAAAGTGTGTTGAAAACTACTTCATTCCAGTTTGATGAAACATAGCATAAAATTCTTACTCATAATTTTTCCACATACTGCCATCATGAGTCTAAAAATGGAAAGAATTCATAGATATCCTCGCTGGAGTAGGAGGGGGCTACTTATTCACCAACTTAGCCTAGGTGGTCCATCTATATTTCCCCTTTCCCAATGGATAAGCCACATTTCCCAGATCTCTCTATAGGAACCAATATAAATGAACAAACTGTCCCCAAATCTGAAAAATTTTGGCAAAACTAAAAAGTAGTCAAATCCAAATTTACCCATGCCTGCAACACAAAGCAGATTTGATGGCAGGTCAGATCCCATCCTCCCTTTCAGTGATGGCAACCAAGAAATAATCAAAAGTCACCATATAATAGCTTAACATCATTTTTCATTATTTGTATGAAAAAGTATAATATTGTTAAAAGACCACATGAAAGTATCAACCCAGAATGGATCAAAATACAAGTTTCATGAAAATTAAAATATACCAATCAAGAAAATTAAAATATACCAATCAAGAAAATAATTTACCTTTTTATCTTATTTTTCTGTAGTTTCCTTTTACTTCTTTCTACTACCTATGTAAAGTAAGTGTCTTGCATAAGCAATCAATTACACTATTAGTTATAAGTAGTAGATTTGGGAGATTTTATTTTTTACAAAATGGAGAATCTAATTGCCCTTAACATTTGAAGATCCAAGACAAAGATAAAGGATAAACATGGAAAATATTGGAGAGTTTCAGTATCTTCTCTCCAGGGGAAAAAATAGTTATGGAATATGAGCTCATCAAGTTAAAACCCAGAGCATAAAGCTGACATCAGAGAATCAGTCTACACCCATGTAATCATGGTGCAGCCTACCCTGCTCCTGGTTTTCTCACTTCCATACAATCATTCACATATACATCACACACTTCTAAACTGTGATTCACTTCTAAAGGGAAACATAGACCCTGGCCACATGAAAAGAATTAGCATTAGCATCAGAATGGGTCGGCTCTAGCCCTAACTGCCACCACACTAAAGTTACAGAACTTTTCTAGACTTTAGTTTCCTCAACCAGAAAGTACAGAATAATAGATCTGTGACAGCTAATATCTGTGGTCAACTTGGTTAGATTAAGGGATACCCAAATATCTTAGCTTCTTTTTTTCATTGCTGGGCCAAATACCCCATACTCAAAGTTTAAGGAGGAAAGGTTTATTTTTGTTTTGTTTGTTTTTGGTACCGGGGATCGAACTTGGGTCCTTGTGCTTGCACAGCAGGCAGTGAAACCACTGAGCTAAATCTCCGGCCCTATTTTTAGCTCACAGTTTGTAGAGGTTTCAGTCCATAGTTGGCTGTCTCCAAGGCAGGGCAGCATGGGAGAAGGGCATGGCAGTGTAGAAACAATCCATGGTAGGGTAGGCAGGAAGCAGCAAGAAGCATCAAACCTTCCTTTCTCTTTTACCTGATCCAGGCTACAAGCTTATTGGACAGTGCCACCCACACCCAGGGTGGACCTTCCCATTATCAACACCCAGAACTGTGCTAAGCCATTCAGTGGACTAATTTAGTTATCATACCCTTAATCCATATTCACACACCTTTAATTCACATGCATACACCCTAGATCTAGCCACCTCTGAAAAGCCTTACCTTCATGAGGCTTTGGGAAAACATCTAGATACAAGCCATAACAACAAATAACAGGTAAAGCAATATTTCTGTGTGTACTTATGCAGGTGTTTCTGGAAGAGATTGGTATTTGAGTCTCTGGGCTAAGTAGGGAGGATCTGCTCCCATTCAATGTGAGTGGGCACCATCTAATTGACTGAAGGCCCAGATAGAACAAAAAGCAGGGGGAAAGTGAATTCCCTCTCTCTTCTCTCTTCTCTTCCTCTTCTTCCTCTCTCTCTCTCCCCCTCCCTCTCTCCCTCTCTCTCTCCCTCTCTTTCTCTCTCTCCCTCTTTGTTTTCCTCCCTTCCTACCTCCCACTCCCTCTCCCTGTCTTTCTCTCTTTTTTGCTTCTGTCTCTTTTGCTTATGTCTCTCTGGAGAACCCTGACTACTATTTGGCATGTTAATTATAAGTTCACTTCAAAAGATGGCCATTAGACATACTTACATAATTACATCTAATAAGGAAGTAAAAAAGAGTTACATCAAAGACTTCTATTTAAGATTTGTAAAGTTCCTAGGGAAGAAGAGATGATAAAAAATAGGTGAGTGGCTCATTAAAAAGATTCTTTATAGGGCCAGGGATTTAGCTCAGTGGTTCCCTCGCTTGCCTTGCAAGTGCAAGGACCCGAGTTCGATCCCTGGTACCAAAAAAAAAAAAAAAAGATTCTTTATACATTTTCAGAAATTACTTTATTCTATTAAAATGCCTTTTATTCTTTTTAACCTCATAAAAAGGCAAAAAAGCAGATTACACTCTCAAGTAAAATGCCAGAAGTAGCTGGAATATGATGCAAGTCATCTTCAGAAGTAGTCATTCCAACCTCCCACTTGAGTCAGTCAGCATCTGCAGATGCCCCTATGCAGCTGTCATCCTGACATCCTGAAATGGTGAATGGGGGTGCAAATGAATAAGTGGTATCTGTCATCATTATGTAGAAACAAAATACTATCCAGGCCCTTTTTCACCCACAGGAGCCATGTATGTTTCTCAGTATTCTTCCCGCATAGAGCTCCTTTGTTCCCCCACTTTCTTGCACAATCTTATCTCCATCCTCAGGCATTCTCTCCCATTTTTGTCCTTTCTTCTTTCAGGTCCCTGAAAGAGACAGGTCACAAAAGAGTAGAAATCAGCCAGCTCCAAGTTTCTCTGAACAGTGCTACACAAGGAAAGCCCTGATCATACAGCAGACTTCTGCATAGTTTCCTGAAATAATTAGCATAAATTCAGTGTCTTAGTTAGTTTTCCCATTGCTAAGACAAAATATACAACACTTAAAGTTGGAGGAGGAAAGGTTTATTTTGGCTCACGGTTTGTAGAGGTTTCAATCCATAATTGGCTGAATGTGAGGCAGTGTGGCATGGCAGAGAGGCATCTCAGAGGAGAAAAAACAGTTCATGGCATGAAATGCAGAAGGCAGGAGCCATCAAAAGCAGGATACAGCCACCTGCCATGTATAATCGGACGCTCCGCTGGTTCCGAGTGGCCAAAGGTGGAAGCACCAAGGACCATGTCCCAAAGCAGAAGGTGGCAGATGGCTATGCACCATTTGTTTCTTTGACTGCCAGAGAAAGTACTTTTACTGTTGTCTCCACTATTGAAGAAGATGTCCCAGGTCCAAGACACTATAATGTTTCAGAAGCACAATGTAATATAAAAGGAGGCTATAGTCTACAAAACCAAGAGAAGCATTTTAAGAAGTTTATTTTGGATAACTCAGGACCTGCAAATTATGGACAGTCTTATTGTGGAACACTAGATATTCTGAAGAGAAAAATACTAGAATCTAAAGAGCATATTCAATCGAAAATTTCAAGAACACCTACTGTTACCAGAAATGTAGATGTTCCTTCAATTCCTTCTTGTGGACAGTCGTATGGTTGTCATATAATGAAGATGGCAGAATTATAAAGTGCTTTCCACCTGCAAGTGATAGCACCATAGGACCAGCATACTACAAACCTCAATTTGACGTTTCCATTGCAACTTTGAAATACAAAGGTATACATTTTGGCAATGCTTCAGGAAGAAAAGAGTTACCTAAAAAGTTAGGTCCTGGTCCTGGACAGTATGAAATAGTCAAGGAAAAGACATTACATTATGAAAATATTAATATCAAGAAAGATCAACAGCAAGATTATTGCTCAAATATCCCACGATTTTATGAAGTAATAGAAATGCAAGAGGAAAAAAAGGTAGGTTGAAAAGTGGCTACTTCATCTTTTTTCAAGATTTTAAACATTGAGTCCCTTTTCACAAGGTTGAAGTTCTCTTAGAATTAATATGTGTGCTAGCTGTACCACTCAATGAATACTCTAAATGGGACTGTATTAAATCAAATGGTCCCTGCCTCTGCTTGAACACTTCTTTTCATACGGAACTCACTATCTCTAAGTTTTCTTGTTTTAGTGTAACAATTTCCCCCCCTAAAAATGTTCTTAAACTGACCTAAACTTTTCTACTTCCTGCATCCTTGTATTGTCCATTTTTGTATGATTTTTTATCAGTCTCTTTTTTTTTTCTAGTGAAGATAAATGTTCCAGGTCCTTTTGACTTTTAATTAATTTTAAGATCACTTATTTTTCTTTGAAGTTATATAAAAGTCTTCAGTCAGAGAATCTCTCTCTTTTAGTATGGTACTTAAAACTAAGCATAATATTCTGGATACACCCTGATAGTACGTAGTTATGATTCTCATTTTCCTTCTTCTGGACAGTGTATATTTACAAAGATAAAATCCATTTTAATACATATTCCACTTTTTTTTTTTTGGTACCAGGGATTGAACTCGGGTCCTTGCGCTTGCGCAGCAGGCAACAAAACCACTGAGCTAAATCCCCGGCCCATATTCCACTTTTTTATAGCAACATTTCAGTTTACTTGTTTAGAACTTGTAGGAAACTGGATTTTTAAAATTGTACTTAAACTTAAAAATTATAGTACAAAAATTTAAGAATGGATGCATTTAGACTGAGGATATACGATTCTCTATTGAAAAATCAGTAACTTTCAGTGAGAAATTTTTCCAAGATTTCCTTGGTCTTCTGAATATTAATCATCAAGGAAAAATACTATTTATCAGAAATAAAACATGGTATAATATTAAAAGAGCATATTAAAATAGCAATACAATTGGTTTCTTAACAGAACATATATCTCAAAGCAGATAAAAGTGTTAATTTTAAATCAGAAGATTCCAATGACTATAATCATTTCAAAATATTCTCAGAAAAATGTGAAAAAAATTTGTTTTCATTAAGGTTTTATTTATCAATAGAATGAATTTACACATATTATCTCAGATGTCAGTAAAAATATAGAAAAATAACAGTGAGAAAATAATTTTCATCTTAAGTTGACTTTCAATAAAAAACCTTACTATTACATTTTTAGAAAGCCTTCTTTCATAGTATTACCCTACTTTTGTTGATAGAAGAAAGTATATATATTAGATGATTTTCAAATTAATATCAGGATACTTTTATTGCTGCATTGCTTACTGTGTTGTTGAGATAACTGTGATCTGAGATTTTTTTTTGAAATTGTGGAATAGCTAGTAAACAAGACGAACTATAATTCATAGCAAGAACATACATTTTCTTTATTTAAATTTAGTGTCTGTGCACTTTTTCTTATTAACTGTAAAATCTTCACTTGATTATATTTCCTGAGTGTGAGGACTATGTATTCTTTAGCATTGTGCCTTTACAGTTTCACACAGTGCCTAAAACCTGGTAAGGACTCAATCAATATTTATTTAATAAATGCATTCTTTTTTCTTAGATACTTACATCATTTTATATTTTAAAGGAACAAAAGTTTTTTTTCAAGTGTGAAATATTTTGTGTTTGTGCAAAGATTTTGATATGTTAACTTTTTAGTTCACTTTCAGGAAAATAATTTTTGAATGAGTTTTTCTTCAGATACTTCTGCTTGTAGTTTTGATTTCCACTTATATTCTTTTCCATTTAAAATTATTGTAAGTCATGTGCCAAAATATTATCTCATTATTATCCTACCAAATGTCACTAATATTTTCCTGGGAAACACTAGAAGAAAATGAATGGTAATACTAGAAATCTTGGTATGTTGAGGGAATAGGACAGAGGAAATGTGAATGTTCCAAAGACCTGAAGATTTTATTGCTTCTCTGTTGTTTATTAGACAGATGTGATACACAGCTTAAATTTGACCATATTAAAGGGTATTTACCCCTAACTATATATGTGATTTGAAATACATTTTTTTCAGTATACGACTTTTCCCAGGGGTTTGCTTGTTTTTCTGTCATAACTATATGAAATGTGACTGTTTTTCTTCAAAAATCATTTCTGAAAACAATTATGATAAAATAAGAATTTTGATGTACCAAAGAGTATTTATTAAAACAGTGTAAAAGTATTTGTATTTTCTGCATATTTAGTATATAACTAATAAATATTTTGCTCAAAATAAGTATTTTTCTACCAGTGCATCCCAACGCTATGGGAAAAAATTAAAAGTACCTTTTATTTCCTTACCCTAGAAATCATAAAAATAACAAGAAATTGAATGAGCTACTTGAAATACAGGGGCTTTAATGTACATGACATTTCTCAATGCTTTACTGTCATAACAAGTATTTGTTCCTAAGGTACATATAATTGTAATTTAAGTTTTTAGGTAAATGAGGGAAGATGGTTTCTTTCTGTTCCTAAACTGCATATTTCTTGGCCCATATAATGCTAAATGGTAATTGCCCAATAATTATGATGAATCACTAAATTTTCCATCATCGTGTACACAGCTAAGTGCTGAACGTGTGTGTTAAGCAAACAAGAAGGAGAAGGCGAGAGGACTTGTGAGTGTTGAGTTGGAAGAATGTTTCCTCGGAGATGGTTAAAACAGACTGGTCACTACAATGTGCAGAGCAGATGATAAGTTCAATTTGAGACTATTGAATTTGGAGAAAAATTACAGAAAGTAGAAATTGGAAAATGGGAAATTTCAAATTTATGGATGATGGAGATACAGATTTGGCAGTCATATTCAATATGCTTTTTGAATGAAGTTATTATATATCTGAAAATGATGCTTAGGATTTCTCTTTCCTGAGACTGGTACTATTGCTTAGTATCTAAATATGGAAACATTAAGATGATTTAAATAGTGCTGTCAACTCTTTGGATGAAGACATTTTCTGATTTCACAAAAAGTACAATGAGTATATTTTAATGAATATAAGTTTTTAAATTACCATAAGTATCCTTGAGATCTATTTAATTCTGCTACAGTGATTTTCAGTACATCTTAAGAATACATACGACATTATAATTTACTGAGAACTTATTAAAAATACAAATACTAACTTCTCTTCAACCTGAATCTTTCCCTCAGAAGTATGCTTTGCCTTTGGCAGTGAAAACTTGTTTTAGCACTGTCTCCTTAAATATTAATAAGGCTTTAAGAAAACTCTGTCATATGCAAAAGCACTTAACAATTGTTTCTATTGACGTTCTTTGATTTGGTAATTCAAAATGTGTGAAGTTGTCATATTAATTTTACTTCATTTCAAAAAAGTAAAACTTCATTACGTGGTGCCAATACTTTGGATCTTTACTGCAATAAGACTTCATTTCTCATATTTATTAAAACAAATGTTTAACATTATGTGTGGTAAGATATATGAAAATTTGCCTTGTTCACTTGAGTAAATGTAAATCATAAATTTTTAGTTCTTTTTTGTTGTTGCTGTTTTAAGGCAGGGTCTCCCGTTGTAGTTCAGGCTGTCCCTGAACTCACTATATTCCTTAGGCTGGCCTCGAACTTGCAGTGATCCTCCTGCCTCAGCCTCCCAAATGATGGGATTACAGGTGTGCACCATCACACCCAGCAAGAAATTTTTAGTTCTTTTGGATGTATTATGCAGTGGAAATAGCCTGGAACTATATATTTTAAATTTTTATTTATGCATCTATATACACTTATCAAAATTTTCAGATTTTTAAAAGCTATATTTTAATATATAATTTGAAAACTAGGGTTTTCTCTGGATTGGTAATCTTATCTAGATGTTTTAATAGAAACTTATAGCTTCAAATAATTATGATTGAGCTTTTAAAAAAATTAATAAAAAGAAGAGAAACATTTTACAGCCTATCATGATATATTTTGATTTTCTCTTATGGATGGATTATTCCATTATTCCTGATGCAACATTTTAATCTTTTCACTTATCACTGCTTGTCACTAATATTTATTGTTACCTGTTTACTTGACTTTATAACAGGCACTTGGCAATTTATTGCAGTTAGAAATATGTTGTTGCAACCTTGAAAGAACTTGGCTTTCAGGATGAACAAGAAGAATTGCATATAATTAAATATATTTTCTCCCAAACCAAATAGTTGTTTATTTTGAAGTTATTGTATCCAAAAGTCTGAGTACTTACTTTCTCACTTTCTTAAAAAAGCTTCCAGTTTTTCAGTGAAGTTCTTCAAGAGGAAAAAAAATGCTTCAAAAGAGATGAGAGGAAAGGATTAAATAAAAAGAAGTGGGCAAAATTATGTGTGGGGAAGAGTAAAGAAGAGGTTGAAAATACTTATTGCTTAAACAAGGATTCAGGATCCTTTGGAGCACATACTGTCTTCAAATGTAATTGTAAAGTGGTTTGTACTGTTGTAATTGAATTTTGTATTCTAAAGTTATATTCAAGGTAAATGTTAAGAACTATATAAAATAAATAAAACCTATTTGGATTTTTTTTTAAAAAGCAGCATGCAGGAGGCGACGGCAGCAGCCCTCTTTCTGTCTCTTGTAGTCTATCCAAGCTGCATACCCTTGCCCCAGATATCACTCAAGCCCATGGTAGGCTTCCCATTATCCACACCAAGCACTATCCCAAACGAATCAGTGCTAATTTAGTAGTCACACACCCTTAATCCCACCATCACATACTCTAGGATCCAGCGACCTCTGAAAAGCTCTATCTGTGACTTCATGAGGCTTTGGGGGAACATCTAAGCACAAGCTATAACACCCAATTTATTATATTGCTAAATTTTTACTCATAAAGAGAGGAACAGAGGGCCTTAATATCACAATGGGTCTAAGAGGGGAGTTCAACCTGTTTACAACTGTGACTGCTGGCCTCCGGTGTACCAGGGGATGTGATTTCACCTAACACTGAAAGTAGCAGTCTCCTGGAGCTTTTTGAAAAGGAAAATGGAATCACAAATGGAATGAATTCTAACCTACCCATATTTATTCCCTTAAATTATATCAATATTAGTGTTTGCACTAAGGTTTGATGTAAAGACTGTAAAAAATTAAGTGTTAAGGAATAGCATAAAACCAAATTTGCATTCCACAAGTTTTCCCAGGGTATTGAGAGGAGACTTGACATTTATTCATTGAATCACTGCACATACAATGTTACTCTAGGATCAGGAGATACTGCACCAAATACAGAGACTCTAACTTCTAGATAGTCTTTCTAGGTGGAGAAAGACAAACCATCAGTAAGTACAAGAGCCAATTAAAATGTAAAGTGAATGTTGAAATTTTTTTAAATATATTACCATAAAAGACAATGTTAATAATGCCTGCTCAAAAAAAATGCTTCCCCTCGTTCAGAATACATTTATTCCATTGTTCTTGCACTTTCTGAAACACTTCTGGAAGTCGTTGTCCATTTCTTTTCTTT